AGCACATTTTTAATAATAATAATATAGTTATATATTTAAGTACATTAAACATAAATATTGCCAAAAAGGACCGCACGATTGGAATGCAGTTCTAACTTATTATTTAACACTTTTATTATTAATTTCCATTCAATTTCTACTACAACTTAATTACAATTTGTTTGTTTTGTTCATCAATTTATAATCAATATTTATATACATATAATTTATTTACAATTATAGCCAATTAATTACTCTTCTTGTTATAACTTTGCATATCGTATAAAAAGATCCAAAAATTGGGATTCAATTGAAAGAGAAAATAAAATTCAAAATTAGCTCATTGTATGTCATATTAATTATAATAATAATAATTGAAAATAATTTGAGCACTGGTTGTGATTGTGTTCAAAATCTTAAATTTATTTCCACTGATTTTCATGTCATTATATATTTTTTAAATAAATCTTAAATATTTTGACAAAAAATATATTTATAAAAACAGTTTTCATAAAATAAATCTCAAATAAAATCTGAATTAAAAATAATAGGTTTTTAGATTTAAGACAAGAAGATCAGTGAAAATGTACTCAATTCTTGTTTAATAGAAAGTATAAGTGATTGAAAGTTAACCATAATTTTGAGTACACATTATATAACAACAAATGATAACATTAAGCAAATGATTAATTTACACTTTATTTCATTACAATTTAGTTTGTTTTGATCGCACTTTTGGTAAAACGAAAAAATATATAACATTTAGTGAAACAAATTTCAAATTAAATCAAATCAATGTCTCATTAATGAGAAAAAGCCCACAAAAAAGTTGTTTTGTTATAAATGTTAAAATTGGCTCAAATTTAAACTATACTTCATGTAAAAGATATTTTGAAAAACACTTGAAAAATGGCATTAAAATGACTAAAAATAATTCAAATTATTAAACGATTGATATTATTATCAATAGATAATACTATCAAATATGATATCGATTTTAAAAATCTCACATTTTATGTGAAGAATTCGGGTTTATATTCAAAATATCTTAGAGTTTGAGTCAATTTTGTATTTGAAATGAAAATAAAGATTTGATAATAAAAAAGATGAGAATTACATGAAATGAGAGGTAAGAGACTATCCATACATGTTATAAATGTAATTGAATTTGATTTACAAATTAATAAATTAATTACATTATTAATAATTTATGTCCAAAATATTACAATAGCTTAAAATAATTAGAAAATCTGTTTCATATAAATATTGGTTAAATAATCAACGGGTGTACCAATGATACGGTCAACACATTTGTTAATTTCATTAAATAATACTATAAACAATTAATGGGTGTAACGCTTTGTAAATTGTTTTGATAAATTATTAATTAGTTTTTAATTATTAATTTAATGTCAATTTATTGATCTACAAAACAATGCAATAAAATTGTCTGAATGTCTTGTGATTCGTAAGTACCCGAAGAGACCTCCAAAATAAGTTTGGCATCTATTAAATGGCAATCAATATATCCGACAAATTAGTGACCAAATGTTTTAATTGGTTCGATCAGGGCTTATAACTTATATCCAATTGTTATTGTCTTTATCTAATATTTGTAACAAAACCTTTTATCGCATGTTGCTATCTCGATTTATAAAAGTGCCATGGTCATTGTGCCAAACGCATTTCGGAGGTCGACCTTTCCGGGTGGTCATTACTCGGGAACCACAAGACATACAGACAATTGGATTGCATTATTTTGTAGATCAATAAATTGGGTTTACATTAAACCAATAATTAACATTTTTAAATTAAATTTGATTAACAAATTACGCGCCAATCATTTCCCAAAACAATTTTAAATGCGTTATTTATCAATATTAATGGTCTATTTAAAAGTGAACTCACTTTTGTAGATTAATTTAATTGAACATTGCTTTAGTTAAAACAAGTACTATAATCCCAAAACGCTATCTTTATTGCTATATATCTATCTATAATAAGCGATCAAATTTGCAATTTTGTCAATTATATTATCTTCAAATTATGACATTAAGAACTATATTTTATAATAATTAAAAGTTAACCTGGTTAATATAACTAAAAATTAGGCAAATCATGTGTTGAGAGTTATCATTGGGAAGACCCGCAAAGTATTAGTACTCTGTTTTTCATGACTTTTTTCAATTCATTTCACTGTCACTAAAATTATTGTTTTACCAAAAAATAGAAATCCATTGAATAATGAAATGAATGGAAATAATGATAGACTTAAGAGTAATATTAATATCAATAGGAAATGGAATAAAGAAATCAATTATTAGCGGAGAAAGAAAAGTACAATTAGTATGACTTTCATCGTTAGATCACAGCATTTATCAAAATGAGAAAATATGACAAATATATAGTCAAATGGTTGTCCTATCGTTTGTCAATTGTTATGAAATGACAATATTTTCAATACTCAACAAACTTTCATTGGTTTGAAAAATAATCAAAATATAAACAATTTGAGAGAAAAAGTTATTATGAATTGGAGAACAATATAATGAGTCCGTTGTAGAGATCATTAAAAATATGAAATAACTATAACTTTTGTTGTCTATATATATGTAATAAATGAAGTGAACATTAAAATAGCTATTGTTTTAAATGTTTTGATACATCGGAGCTATTATTATCGTTATTATTATTAGGAGTAATATTATTATCGGTTTTATTATTTGATTGCAAACTAATTGTATTACTAATGGTTTGTGGAGAGATAGCGACGGGAGGAGTGGCCGATTCAGACCACCTCCTGATCACTGAACTATCTTTGGTCTGCGCTTCGAGTTTGGTTCGGGTTTGAGCACCGGTTGAAGAGTCGAGACTATGACTAGAAAGTAGATTAGAGCTGACGGTTGACGACTCACTGCTCACAATAACACTCATTTCCGTCTTCTTCTGTCGCAACGGATTCTTAAATCCCTCTAAAAAAGTTCGTTTCGATTTTGATGGACTCGACTGGTGTTTATGCGAATGAGTCGGCGGTTTCTCAGATGAAGGACACGAATACTTGCGATTTGTTGATGAATCGGGAGATGTGTTACATGTCTTTGAGTCACTTTCACTAATGTTTTCAATGACAACACTTTCGCACTCATTATTAACGGCCAAAAATGTCTTATTCTTGCTTTTATTTGACTGACGCATCGATTTGGATGTATTGGTTGAGCCCAACGGCTGCTCTTTTGCCGTTGATTTCAGATTCTTCTCGCGATGGACTGCCGCCGGATGTGACAGTGTTTTCCTCAACGAGGGATTCCATAGAGAACCCAATTCTGGTGCAGAACTATTCGTGTATACAATTGTCAAACAAATACCAAAACACAAATCAAAATGTTTAAAACTTACACTTCTTTTGTTAGCTCTTTTTGGTAAGCAATAGGCGACTGAAGAGCCCTAAGAAAGTCGAGTTGAGTATCAAGAATGGCCCTAATGTTTGCCACCCATACATCTGCCACTTCTTTACTGGAACCCTGACATAGGAATGCAATTTCAGACATATTTGGGTCTTTGGACTTAAGCAAGAACTTTGTTGGATCCGAATCGTCCACTTTGTCGATGAGACACATTTTGTTGACCATAAGATGCGCTTTATATAAATACACGGGATTAGAAAACTGTCCCTTTTGTCCAACAGTTTCGCTGAATATAATTATTTGTTCAAAAAGGAAGACTTGTCTCTCTTTCAGTTTAGTTGAGCCAATATTAGAGTTAGTATTGCTTCCAGTGCTGCCACCGGACCCCAAATCGCCCACAAAAAGCAAACCCTGTTGTAATAGCTTTCCCTGAGCTGTTATTTTGCCGTCGAAGTGCTGAAGCCTTCCGACGCACATCATATCGTTAGCGGCTTTGGGCACGACATGCATGATATGAACCGCTTTCTTCAGATCCTCTGCTTCTTTGGTGAGTCCAGCCTTTTCAGTAGTCTTCAACATATCTCTCAACAATAACTGATATTTCATTATCCTTTGAACCGGTTTTATAAGAAGATCAGGCAATTGGAGCTTATGTCCCAACTTCTGACGGATTTCCTATTAAACACAATTAAACCAAACATAATATGACTATATTTTAAAGCTAATCATAATATAATTTACCTCAAAAAATGTATCCAAATGTTCGGAAACAATGTGTTCTGATTTGGGTTTATTCTGACAGTAGACGACATACATATTGAGCCTTCGCTCGCATCGTCTAAAGAGGAGACCCAGTCTTTCGGGTTCTTCCAAACACTTATCAATTTCTGCCAAAAACGAGTCTCTATGCCATTCATATATGGCCTCTATATTGCCGAATATAATCTTATCCTTTCCATTCTTAAGATCGTCCGGAACTGCAATTTCGGTCTCATTTCGCATTAGTTCCAGATATCCATCGACAACAAGACCTAAGTTGAAGACATAATCCCTTTCCGTGTCAACCAATTCTTGTAAAATAAATCTCCGCTTAATTAATGCTTTTTCTCTTTCAGATTCTCCGGTCAATGAATTATCGGTTTCGTCATTCGTTTCATCGTTTGTGCCCTCATTTTCTTCGATTCGTTCAATTAATCCGTTATTTATGTCTTCTTTCGAGAGATCATCGCTTGTGTCCTAAAAGTTAAGATTCAATTACTATTTCCTGTAATTGTCATCGTTTGCCAACATTTAGTATTAAATCAAACAAACCATTTGTATTTTGACAATAAATTCCAATTCAGAAGTTCCCAAATCTACTGATGATATCATGCTTTCAATCTATAAAATATCAATATATTTAATTATTATTCATTATTATTAAATTAATCAAGACTTAGTTATTAATGAATATATTGATAAAAATACAAAATGGAAACAAACGTTTTCAGTGATGTCAACATTAGCCGAGTTAGCAGACAATGAAGAGACTGCAGGATATGTGTGTTCCTGTATTTTCATGGGCGGCGGCAGTTCAACATCAGTCACATCTCCGTCTTCTTCGGTTACATTGACTACACATCCGTTCAGATCAAGTGATTTAGATGTCTGCGGAACCAGTGATGGCGTTGTCGGTAGAGATGCAGAACTCGATTTGTTAAAACCGACGGACTCTTCGGTCTTCGACACTGTTTTACTATTGGACTCTTCTTTGGTATTATTTATCTAAAAATATTAATTTAAAAATTAATTAAAAAACTCTTTAATAAGTGATCCGTTAAAGACATGCCTTCCATGGGGTGATAGAAAGCGATGACTTCTTGCCGCTGGACTTCGGAGAATCACTACTACTGTTGGATGTTTTGTCCACTTTTCCCGAACTTAGTTTTCTGACGGGATTTGTGAGCCATTTCTTGAACGTTCCCTTCCTTTTGGTAGAACTACTGCTTTCAGTACTGAATGAAGGACTCGATTCGTTGCAAGTGGTCGTCACGTCTGAAACATTTCACACATCAAATCATTAGTTTATATTTTATTTTAATTATTAATTCAAGTTTATATTAAATATTAATTATATTGAATAAAAAACATTAAAACCCCAACAAAAATATGTTATATATATAAATCATTAAAATTAATATAATTAATAAAGATTTAAATAAAAATCAAATAAAAAATAATATAAAATGTTGTTAAAAGCTATACAACTATTTTAGAAACGATTAATAAATAACTAATGGATTAAAAAACAAATTCAAATTAACGATAAATATTGTGATATGAAGTGAAGTGTCATTTAAGGAAAATTTATCGAAGAGAAATCCATGTCTTTTTGTAGAGAAAATGATTTGAATTTATTTAATAAATAAAGACATCATTTGGCGAATCAATTCATTTACGGATTATAAAAATCAAGAATTAATGATAAATACCTTTAAGTCTAGAGATATCAAGAGTTTCGTTAACATTATGGCTGTGCCTGGAATGGCAGATATGAAGGCCTGAACAGCAGAACATTTTCCCGAACTTAGTTTTCTGACGGGATTTGTGAGCCATTTCTTGAACGTTCCCTTCCTTTTGGTAGAACTACTGCTTTCAGTACTGAATGAAGGACTCGATTCGTTGCAAGTGGTCGTCACGTCTAAAACATTGCACACAATCAGCAAATCATTAGTTTATATTTTATGTTAATTATTAATTCAAGTTTATATTAAATATTAATTATATTGAATAAAAACATTAAAATCCCAACAAAAATATGTTATATATAAAAATCATTAAAATTAATATAATTAATAAAGATTTAAAATAAAAATCAAATAAAAAATAATATAAAATGTTGTTAAAAGCTATACAACTATTTTAGAAGCTATTAATAAATAACTAATGGATTAAAAAACAAATTCAAATTAACGATAAATATTGTGAGATATGAAGTGAAGTGTCATTTAAGGCAGATTTATCGAAGAGAAATCCATGACTTTTTGTGGAGAAAATGATTTGAATTGATTTAATAAATAAAGACATCATTTGGCGAATGAATTCATTTACGGATTATAAAAATCAAGAATTAATGATAAATACCTTTAAGTCTAGAGATATCAAGAGTTTCGTTAACATTATGGCTGTGCCTGGAATGGCAGATATGAAGGCCTGAACAGCAGAACATGGATCCACTCACAAACACAATGAGTGATACTTCAAGTGAGCATTTCTTACAGTACATCCATTTAGTGATAAAAAATATATTACAAAATAGAGTCTATTATTTGTATATTCATCTGCCAATCATCTGCTCTACCGGTTATTACAAGAGTATCTGTTGTGACACGAAAATGGCTGACCGATAGGCATAATCTTCTAACACCTACAGACTCTACAGACTCTACAGACTCTCAAGTAATGCTTCACAACGTCGTCGACGACTCACTCCATCAGTGGTTTCTCTAATATATGATTCTCAGACATCAATACTATGTATGCGTTAATACAGATGCTATATATACGGCTCTCATGTTAACAATGCTATATATCCTACACTACATTTTAACAGTATATATACTGTATATAGCAGTAAATTATTTGCAGAATATTCTGTATGAGAAGCCAAGAGGGCGACAGTTAATTGAATTCATTGCGTTTTCACATCAAATACAAATGGCTTTCAATTCTCAAACTCTTTCCATCACTTATTAAATTGAATATTTATATTNATATACTGTATATAGCAGTAAATTATTTGCAGAATATTCTGTATGAGAAGCCAAGAGGGCGACAGTTAATTGAATTCATTGCGTTTTCACATCAAATACAAATGGCTTTCAATTCTCAAACTCTTTCCATCACTTATTAAATTGAATATTTATATTATAAGTCAAAAAACAAAGTACTTTGGTTTGGATACATAGTATTGATTGAGAAGTTAATAAACAAAATTGATAACAAAAATAGTGACTTACCGTCGGTTTCCATTGAAGCAGACTTTGATGAGAAGGCGACCGAACGCGACGGGAATCGAAGACAATAAAGAGGAACAATGCCTTCGATGGCAACACAATTGTTGAATATACTGTATATAGCAGTAAATTATTTGCAGAATATTCTGTATGAGAAGCCAAGAGGGCGACAGTTAATTGAATTCATTGCGTTTTCACATCAAATACAAATGGCTTTCAATTCTCAAACTCTTTCAATCACTTATTAAATTGAATATTTATATTATAAGTCAAAAAACAAACACAACTCAATAATCATAAAGAAACCCATATTCACACATTTTCCTGTCATATGTTATTATAATAAAACATTTGTCTACAATGATAACAAAAATAGTGACTTACCGTCGGTTTCCATTGAAGCAGACTTTGATGAGAAGGCGACCGAACGCGACGGGAATCGAAGACAATAAAGAGGAACAATGCCTTCGATGGCAACACAATTGTTGGAGTCTTGAGTACCGATCACTCGAACCAAACAGAATTCGGGCAAAGAATGCAAATTATAGTCAATCACTTCGACCTGTTGTCCGCCGCGAACTGATATGAAAGAGCCAATCGTTGTCTGCGGCAAAAGTGAAGCATTCTTGTCGGCGTTGAAGTCCTCAATAACCCACGTCACGTCCCCTCCACCCTATCAACACATATTCAATTAGTTATCCAATCAATCATTGTTTTCATTTTTTAAATATTTATACAGTATTTATCAAATCTTATTTTAATATTAATTCCTATAGAAATAATATTCATTAAATGGCAATTTTAATGAAGGGCTTTCTGTTAATATGACTGTGAATGACAACTACAACACTTCAAAGTATTTGAGCGCAATATTGCTAGAAATAAATGATATCAACGATATAAATGAAATCATCAAATATCAAGTGTTATCTAAAAAATTATTTTATTTTATTATAAAAAAGGATTTTATTGAAATGACAGGCAATTTATGTAAACTCAATATACTTTAAAAAACAGTAGAAAGTATCCAAACATGATTGCAATTGTGGGCACATCTTTTTATTACATACAATATAAGATGTAAAAGACATGTCATCGTTGGCTAATAACAAATTTATTATTTTTAAAATTGCTTTTACGATAAAATCGTAATAAAAGTATATTTTTATTATTCTACCTGTATAGTTATTTCTATTAAATTTATAAAAATTTATTATAATTGAAATGTTGGCAAATATTCATACAAACTATAACTCTTTAAACAAAAGTATTTGTCATAAACAGAATACAATTTCACACCTATTTTACAGAATAATGGGCTGTGAATAACAGTTGTGTGTCAACGCATAAACATTAAAAAATGCAAACAAACTAAACAATTGCATTGCGATTGCATTTGCACTCACTTTTTCGCTGTCAGTGGTTGTGCTGGAACTATAGGATGCGAGTGATGTCCTGTCGTGATGGTCAGCGTTCACGTCATCCGTAAAACAATCGTCAAAATCACTATAAATTTAAACAATATATCATTCAAATGGCGTGTTATTCAAAATAAAGTTTAATTCAATGTTTCACTCCAAGTGTTTAACAATAAAATTATAAATATTATTATTTCAAAGCTTATATTAATAGTTAGCAGTGCCTTATTTATGGCTCATTTGTCATAACATCTGGATTTAAATATACAGTAAACGAGTGAAGAATATTAAATTATTGTTACATTTTAATCATAAGTTGTTTTCTGCATATTTAACATGAGTGACAATTTAACACTCATTTTACATCAAAAACATGCATCAATTCTATCATGATAACAAAATTTGCACAAAAATAAAATTGTTTTCATATAACAAACAAGAGATGTCTAAAACAATAGAAAACAAAACGGGATATAATTGAACGGCTGTTTAATTAAACAAATATCTTATGTCTCGTCTCGTAATCGCACTCAAGGAAAATATGTCACAAAAGATGGGTTTCAATGATTGATTTTCATCACTCCATACATAACTACTGAATACTAAACTAAAACTTGAGTTAATAATTATTTGAGTGAAAAACCCAAGGTCTACAAAATAACATTTTAAATAATACTCTATTTAAAAAACTAATTTCCTTTTATAAGTCATTGTATTTAAGAAGTGGTTCGTTATATTGTTTGCACAGCAGTATATACACTATACATACCACTCATAGCACTTTATTTGAAGGAATATTTAATAATTTTAAAATTATTTTCAATCACAAAATATAAGTTATCTTTTTAAATTATTTCATGAGTTAGTCTTCACATAGAAACATAGGATTGATATAAGAAGTAAAGGCACACAATTGAGACCAATACAAGTCCTTATATGAAATTCACTTTTTTATAGGAGAATAATCTCAAACAAATGAATTTGACAAAATTCTGGTCCAAAATATTTATATTATGCAAAGAATTTGTTTAACAAATAACATGTTTAGCACTTTAACACATCCAATAATATTGACGTCAAAAAAGTTCAATAAATAACATTAATTTAACATTAATTTGTTTGGTCACGAATTTGTAGACTTCACTCGTTTATTATTAAGTGTTTTTATTTCCATTTATGCTTTATATAAGTATACAATCCATTTATTTATCTATACCTGCATTATATTCAATATAATGTTCATTGAATTGGAAATATCACTAAACCTTAAGGCTGTTATTGAAACAAATTGTGTTTTCAATTCCTTTTACATATTAGAGAATAACGACGAGAACTCATCGCTGATTAAATTATTCAAATATCAAAAACTCTACATTTTGTGAACACATTTGAAAATAAACTATAAGCTAATGGATTGTCGCTCTTATAAACTATTTCTAAATTAATTTTAGAGAGAGAGAGAGAGAGAGAGAGAGAGAGAGAGAGAGATAACATACCGCGACGATCTATTGCTGTGTGCATGCGTTAGTTTAGCGTTGAGTTTATTTTGAGATATTTTGGACAAATTGAGTGTCGAGAGTGCAGAACAGAAGTACGTTTCCTGAATTAATTGCCGAACTCTCTTAACCCATATTTGTTTGGTCTCGAGATTCGATGTTTTGAATGTAATCTTATTGTCGGCCAACTGAGCCAACCTTCCCGTCCAAATGGCAAACTTGAGTTCATCGCCTTCGATGTGTTCAGTGATTCCGATCTCAGATGTCATTAACTTAAGTTTAAATATATATTTTCCCTTTCCGTTCGAGTCTTTCAATTCTTTGCCGAAAACCAAATACATCTCAAAGAGGAAAACCCTTCGTTCGCGACTCTTTCTGATCAATGATTTTGAATCAAACACTTGGAAAGAGTCTTGAAGTATGACTTCTCCCAATTGGTCGAGTGATATATCACAGCCCTCTAACATACTTAAGTGCATCGCATCGTTCGCTTTCTTAGGAACACTAACCATCACTTCTAAGCCGTCTTTGATCTCTCCCTGAAGACCTTCGCCACAACACGAAAGCAAATCTTTCAAAAGTAACTGATATTTAGTTATCCTTTGCACGGGTTTTATAAGGTATGCGGCGATTGGGTGCAGAACACAGTGTTTTCGTTGTACTTCTTCGAAAAAATGGCCCGAATATTGAACTAATAATGTGTTGGATTCGGGTTTGTTTTGACAGTACTCTACATATATGTCAAAACTCGAAGCCCACGTCACAAAACAGTGACCAATGTCTTCGGGCATTGATTCGTATTTTTCTAATTCCCTGAGAAATGTGCTGAAAATTTAAAAAAATCAATTAAATTTAATTTTAAACAATAAATTAAAAATAAATGAATTCTCACTTATTATGAAAATTATAAATATCTTCAATGTTTCCAAATATATTCCTCTCTTTGCCAGCGATACCAATGGGCAGATTCGCGCAATTGTGGCGAAATTCATACAAATAACTTTCGATACATACTTGAAGATCTCTAACATAAGATTTTTCAGTGCCGAGCAGTTCAGCCATAATAAACTCCTTTTTTCGGGTAGACTTCCTTTTTTCCTGATCGACAACAAGAACTTCTTGACTATTACTTGACGTAGAAATTGCTGGACTGTTACAGAACTTAGTGGTCGGAGAGGGCAGAGAAGTGGGCGAAGAGATAGAAGTGGGCGATGCTATCGGAGAGTCAACTGCTAATAATTTTGGATCGATTAACGAATCCATACTTCTTTGAGTTGATTGTAAACCTAATTTGTTTTCTAATTCATATCTATAACCGTCTAATTGTTTGTTAAATTCATTGTATGAATGATCAATATATGAAACCCATTTTTTGATAGCGATTGGATGTGTATTTCCCTTATGAATCAAATTATCGGATAAATGGATCAAAAGGCGAACTTTTTCTTTCGATTCTTTAGCGCTGTTTTTGAAATCATAGCAGTCTTTGAGAAGAATTTCTAACTCATCGTTACTTTTGTCAGAAAGGGCTAATTTTTTGGTTGAGATATATTTCATTCCGGTCTCATTAATCCATTTGAGGGCCTGTTTAGCGCTGTGTTCCACAAGTATATATTGCTGGCAGTGATCCAATCGTTTCTTCTTCTGTGTCCAGTATTCGAGGACTTCGTTCTCCTGTTTTAATAGCTTATCCATTATATTCTTCACGTCATTCTCGGCGGTACGATATGTGTTACTCCCGGTGCGAGTCGAGTAATACTGTATACAACGGGCGGCATATTTAAGAAAGGTTTCGGCATTTCTGCGCGCGAGTGTACACGCTTTGAGGAACGCCTCCTTCTGTTCCTGATGTTTGCATATGTGTTGTATGAGAATGGCTTCGATATCCTCTTTAGATGGTATGGGAATTGGGTTCGAATTGTCAGCATTCAGATGAGAAGCGCCGCAAAAGTCTTCGTTTCGTTGATATTCTCGCTGAAGACTATCCAACACAGAGTAGACCTGATCCGCGGTCTTAAAAAAATTGAGTGAAGCCATCACTAGTTTGTGCCGGTCTTCTGCGTGACTCATCAGTTGCTGCCATCGAGTGGACACTTCTGTGGCAATGTTTCTAACCATCTCTGGATTGAAGTGATTTCCCTGTACTAAGGATTCGGCCTTTTGTTGTAACTGAAGAGCACTCGAATGGGTTTTCTATTTCAACACAATTTAAAGTAACAATTATTTTAAATACATTTACAATAATTTTTGGGGTTAAAGACAATACTAGTCAAAGAGAATTACATTGAAAGGAAGGATCTTATAATTGAAGCCCAAAAACGATTATATGATTGCATGTAAGGATAGAATTGAATATTAGTATTATTTTATGTTTACTTTTAAATTATATGTAATTTAAAGGTATATATAGTTATATTGTATGGAAATTATATTAATTGACTGAATAATGCAAACATTAATAGAAGTAAAACTTAAAATAACATATCATTCATAGAAAGGTTAGTGTAATATTGAAACAAAGGTCAGATTCCGTTCTGTATATCATTTCATTCATTAATTTATATGTTGTTATAAATATTATGTAAAAATTGTATTATAAGTTATTCCGATATTTCTTTAAAACAATAACTTTTAGTTATTGAGAAATAATAGAGAAAATGATTTAATATGGAAACAAACAAACATGAAAGACAAACAATAATAATAATAAGAATTAAGACCTCGATGGCCAACTGGAACTGCTCGTGTTGGACCTGTAGGTCCTCGGCTTGCGATAGAGTGTTTGGGATCTGAAATGATGCCGAAAGCATGGACTCTCCGTTCCTCATCCATGTGAGCACTTGATTGGCATCGGTCTGGAAGTGACACAATTGGACCATTTGCTCGAGTCGTGAATTTTATTTAAAACAGTACTCAATTACTTTTATAATGTATTTGGTGAATAACAAAGAATTGCTTCTCACTCACATAGCATTACTTTATTATTTGAGCGCAATTATTAAATTTTGATTAAAGAATAATTTACAAAATGATTCAAATTTAATTAATTAAATAGATTTTGTCTAATATTCTTCTCGATTATGATTAAGCATGTTAGGGCACATGTAATAAATACGATAAAAGTATTTATATATCTCGATTGGTCATCGTTTGACCACATTTTTGTATTATTTTCCCAATTTTAAGGAATATAAAGAATTTTCCGGCGCAAAACTATTTTCCTGGAAAATAGTTTTCAAAAATGGGAAATGACGAACATTAATTATAAGTTATTCCGGTATTTCTTTAAAACAATAACTTTTAGTTATTGAGAAATAATAGAGAAAATGATTTAATATGGAAACAAACAAACATGAAAGACAAACAATAATAATAATAAGAATTGAGACCTCGATGGCCAACTGGAACTGCTCGTGTTGGACCTGTAGGTCCTCTGCTTGCGATAGAGTGTTTGGGATCTGAAATGATGCCGAAAGCATGGACTCTCCGTTCCTCATCCATGTGAGCACTTGATTGGCATCGGTCTGGAAGTGACACAATTGGACCATTTGCTCGAGTCGTGTCCGCCTCAGCTCTGAGAGGTCTTCCAAATCCATTTCTCTCTCGTGAAGAAACTCGAGTATCATTTGAATCCTAGCGGTGGCCGTCTGTTCGGAATCAGCCATAAGTAATACACCACACGTTTCCAACAACTGCTTCAACGACATTCAAAATGTTTACATTATTTTTAAATTACCCTTTTATTTATTGTAAATATTATCTAGTATTTTAGTTGTAAGAAAATGTTTGTTTAAATTAGTTATGATATTAAACACTAATGAATAAACGTTATTCAAACATTTTTACAAAGTTAATTAGTTTTATCTCAATCATATGCTTCACTCAATTCTGTACAAGAGATCGTTTCTTACATTACAACAACTAAAAGCATTAATAAAACAGAATCTGCAGGTATTTAATGCAGCATTCAATATAATTTGTTAAATATTGCCAGTATTAACAATGGTGTTAATGTAAATTTAATATTAATAAACATATTGTCAATTGTATTAATAATGCTGTCTATGGCCTAACGATTGATCATAAGAATGACGCTCTAATGATTGTTGTAGTAAAGTATGTGTGAATCGCAAATGTATGTCAATTGTAATGTAGTCGAGAATGAGTGCATACCTGACACAACTCCTGTCCGCACTGAAGGACCTGATAGATGAGTTGTTGCAATCGCTGTTGTTTATCATTGTGTAATTGTAACGACTTTTCCACAGCACTCACATCACTGACACTCATCTGTTTTTGTTGCAAACGTTGTATTTCTTCGGCCAATGCGTCGGTTTGTGTGGAGACAGTGAGTGCCTCCCTTTCAAAGGCCCTTAACTTAAGACACAGATCGAGTCGAAACTTTCGACTTTTCCATAACTCTTCCAACTCTGGTATTATTGACTTAATCTTCTCTATTGACGATTCAATGGCAGTGATTGAAGCGTTTAAGGCGTGATTCGAGTCACAAGAATCAGCGCTACGATTGGCGCTATCCTTCTTCAACTGTTCGGCGGTTGTCTGTCCCTCATTGATGGTGGTGTTGGCCGCCTCTATCATGGAATCTCTTTGATGGATCAACTGATTTATGGCACTTTCAGTCAATTCATAAGATTCTGGCGCTTCAATAGTGTCCGCTTTGAACTGTTGTCGCAATTCATTAAACCACGAAAAGAGCTCTTTATCGTGTGTGAAGAACAAAACGCCAACATTTAGGAGATTACGTCTCACTTCAACTCTGGCCGCGAAGTTAGAGATATGTCTCTCGAGTTGTGTCGCAACTCCGCATATCTCGTCCGCATTGCACTCTCCAGTGCGGGCCAACTCGTCGGCCGCGGCCAACAATTTCTCGGCGTTTGTATAAGTGTTTTGCGCCACACTTTCGAAGTGGTTGTGACTCTTTTGCAAAGCTCTGGCTTTAGTGAGATTGCGTCCAACGCCGGGACTCTTGACGAGAAAGCCCTCGCCGTGAGTGTCGAGCCATTCGAGCACTTGTCGCACGTCGTCCTGAAACAGAGCCAAAGCGAGTCTTTGATGTAATTTAATTTTCTTCAAATGCCAAACGGATTCAATAGACCGGTGATGGGCTAGTATTTCGTGAATCACTGCCACCACGTGTTTAGCGCCCTCTTGATAGTCAGAGACGGGATCCGATCGACTCATAGCACTTATCGAAGGCATTCCGGTTCTGTAGTGATCGGAATGGTTAGCGTCCGAGTGTTTGAATGTGTGGCACATCTGAACCAAACGGTCCAATTGGTACAAAAGCTTTTTGCTGTTAGTGTGGCACTCGTTGTACGCCTGACAGACCTCGTCGTACAGCGATTGGTGTGAGTGAACCAATGCCTCTAATTCTGTCACATCGTTGGGAATGACTAGAGTAGAAGAATCGCACGCCTTCTTCCACGTCGGCACCAGATTTAGGTAGTATTGCGAGCAGTGATAGAAATTGAACGATAGCGTCAACACAGCTGTCCTGTCGTCCAAATTGGACGCAAACTCTTTCCACGTTCTGTCCAAACGTGCGGCCAATTGTTGTATTTGCTGAGAGGCGTAATGACCCGCTTCTGCCATACGAGTGGCCACTTGTTGTAATTTATTGATATTGACGTAAACATTCATTGAGGCGACACTAAACCTGTTGTGTTCGTCCTGTAATTGTTTGCATTCCTCGCAATTCCTTCCGATCACAATCGCTGTCGACATAAATAAGTCTCTATTATTGCGGATCCACTCAAACATCTTTTGAGCGTCGCTTTCGTAAAGTCTTAATTGTAAGCACTGGTCGTATTTGACTCGTTTCAAGTGCCATAACTGCAATAATTGCTGTTTATTTACGTGAATCTCTTCTATTATTCTCATTATCTTAGGAACTGTTGTCTGAATATCGGGATTATTATGCGTTGAATCGCGACTACAATAACCGGAATCACTGTTCACTGAACCGCTGGGAGAGAAACTCAATTTACGTAACAATTGTTGTCCCTCGGCGTCCAACTCTTCCACTGGACTTTCATTGATCTTTTGTTTAGTGTTATTGTGGTCTTCGATCATCTTCTTGGCGGTTGTGGTGTCGGTCGCGAACTCTTGTTTCATAAGATCCACTTTCAGTGCATTCATCACTTGTAGCGCATCCGACGCTTTGTCCATAAATGACTCTAAACTAAGTCTCAAATCAATCCACTGTTTGTGATCGTATGGATAAGTCCCACATTCAATGTCATTCGTTAATTGAGACAAATCAACAAATTTCGATATCGATTCCAATGATATCATAATTGTCTATAACATAAACCACAACCATTTGTTCAATAAAACACATAATACAGTGCATAATACTGTTTATAAGTCAAACAGACCTCAAACTTGTATTTGGATGACCCGAGACTTGTGCGCTGTTTTTGCCAAAAGTTGTCCGGTTTTATGATAAGTGTTGAATGGATTCTGGGGTTAAAGTATTCGTCCAGTGCTTTAAGTATCGGTTTAATGGCAACCCATGTATTGCCTCTCATGTCGATTATAATGCAAAACTCTTTGCTTTTCGACTCTTCACTACAATTTGAAAACACTTTTATAATTAAAACACATTTTATTTATCGATACAAACCTCGGAATACTGGCTAAGTATGCGAGCAATGGTCTCAAGTCTTCGGCGGTCAGCTTTTCTGGACGTGTTTTGGAGGGGAACAGCAGTATTGGACCGCCTCTTAGGTCGCGTCCACCTTATCATACAATCACACCATTAGACCATACATTGCATAATACAAGACAACACGTGATAATTACCCGACAGAACAGCTATCCTCTGCTCTATAAGCGGAAGAATGTCTTTGGCTTTGAGACCCATTCTTCTCAACTCTATTGACAATCAAAGCAATTGTATAAACATTTCAAACAAATTCATCACTCAATGAATTGAATGCAAAATCATAACAAACTGTGAATGAATTAAAACAATGCAAAACTGATTACATCTATAAAGACATCGACAATGAAATCAAAGTTTCAAAATAAAGGACACAATGAATGCATGGGAAGGGATGTGCGGATCAAATGAGCACCTGATGGACATCTGACCAGATTGTGGTCACTGTCACCACTGGAGTAGTCTGTGGTCGACTCAGTTGTGCTCATAATTGTGTTGACAATTGCTTCAATTCATGGCTAATGTAATGATAACTGTGTTTATACTATGAATGACAAAATCACTCAAAACTTGCTGTCAATCATAACAACAATTCATAACAAACTAAATATTGAGTAAACATTCAATTCATGGAAAGTGTTATACAATAAGTGTTTCGTTTCCATCACTACTGCAGTCAACAACACTTGCACTCAACACAACTCAAC